GTCGAATAACATCTCTATGTGCTGTGGGAGATCTGCTGCTGTTGAGAATTTCTCGCTGGATCAGTTTCATCAGTCAATGATTGCTTCAATTTAGCGTTTTGAAAGCAAGTCCCCATAGAACAGTGGTTAGTTCATAACATCGTTTTGGACATGCAGGTGATATTTGCTGCACTTGCTTCATTTCTGAATAAGTGATGCTATCAATTTTTCTATTGTTCCCTATATGTCTGCCACCACAGTGAAGGCAATCCACAGGAAACGAGCCTGTAGAATTCTCATATATTTATTTATTTATTTATTTATTTATTTACAATACTGTCGACTCCAATGTCGGAGTCATTACAGAGGGCACATTGCAGGTAGTATACATTCATGAAGGACAAACAATAACATTCCAACTGACATACGGGATTCCTTACATTATTGGTGAAAAAAAAACAAAATACAAGGAATAATGAATTATCCGCATATATAAAAACAGGAAGATAATCGCACCAAAATGTGTTATACAATGTTATAAGAATATGTAGATATGTAGCGCATCTTTATTATCGGCACAACCATCATCACCAGCAAGCGCATCCGGCAAACCATTCCACATTTTATTTGCGCGAGGAAAAAAAGAGAATGAAACGAGAAACATCAATTTGAAACGCACCACATTTTTTGGTTCACATGATAGCAGAGAGCAGGACAAATGACGGTGACCGAATCAACAATATGCGCAGTTTTCTAGCAGGAAACTCAGGAAACTGCTGACTTGCGCATACCAAGCCAGGTATTTGAGTGATGGATTTAATGAATAAAAAAAACAGACGGATACAAAAACATGAGCCTCACCCAGTACTTTCTGGCCTGCTACAGTGCGCCGTGCAAAAAAGAAAAAGAAAAGAGGGAAATAGCAAAGGTATATGAAGCATTGAAGCACTACTGTAGATTACGCATGGTTTCTAACACTGCGGTGAATGTGGATAGTGTGTCGGCATTAGTAGCATTTGCATTCAGTTTATTCCATTCGCGTATTGTTAGTGGGAAAAACGATTTCCATAGACGTCACAGTTTGAGGAATATTGTTGCAGACTGTATTTGTGCTTATGACGAGTAGGGCGTGACTGTGAAAATGTGACGTACTTAGGCACATCTACCTTGTAGTGGCCATGTAACAACTGGTACAAGAACCTCAGGCGTGCCTCTTTTGCCTAGTAGCTAGTTTTTCAATGCCAGAAGAAGCCAGAAGGTTAGTGGGAGAATCTGTACGTTTGAACTTGTTGTGTACAAACCGTATGGCTTTGCGTTGTACTGCCTCTAATTTACTAATACCACTTAGCGTATAAGGAAACCAAACCTCGTTGGCATATTCTAATACTGGTCTTACGAACATGGTATAAGCCAAGAGTTTTGCGGGCGCTGGTGCAATTCTAAGTCGTCTTTTTAGGTAGAAAAGTTTACGCAGTGCGGCCGCAGTGACGTTAGCTATGTGTGTATCCCATCTCAGGTCAGACGTTAATGTAATGCCTAAGTACTTATGCTGCACAACATTAGTCAGTGGTGAACCATGAATGGTGTAAATGAATTGCGATGGATTCTGCTTACGTGTTACCGTCATAGCTGCGGATTTTGTCACATTGATGGACATTTGCCACTTAGCACACCAATCTGCTAGCTTGGTTAGACATTCATTGAGATTAATGTGGTCTGTGTAGCTGGTTACCTCCTTATAAATAATGCAGTCATCTGCAAACAGTTTGATATTACAGTCATTGTTTTACGTGAGGTCATTTATGAAAATTAAAAATAATAGTGGTCCCAAGACGGAACCTTGAGGGACCCCAGAAGTTACGGGGACTATGTTTGATATATGACCTTCATACTGCACAAACTGTGAGCGATTTATTAGGAAATTTTCTATCCAAGAAAACAATAACCCCTCTCCTATCGCACTTTTCAGTTTAATTAGTAACTTTCTGTGACATAAGCAATCGAAAGCCTTAGAGAAATCAAGTAAAATTATGTCTGTTTGGCCACGATTATTTATGGTAGAAGCTAGATCATGAACTACCTCCGTTAGCTGCGTAACAGTGGACAGGCCACTACGAAATCCGTGTTGATTAGGAGACAAAAATTTTATTTTCTCGAGGAAAACAGTTATGTGTTTGAGGATGATATGCCCTAGTAGCTTACATGAAATGCTAGTGAGGGATATCGGCCGGTAATTTGAAACCAATGACTGTTCTCCTGATTTATGATTAGGTATTATTTTTGCAATCTTCCAGTCATCTGGCAGCTGGGATGAAGTAAGCGACTTTCGAAAGATTAACCCAAGAAACTTGCTACACCAATCCGCGTACCTCTTAAGAAACTCGTTAGAAATATCATCTGGACCACTCGATTTTTTAGGATCTAAGTTAAGAAGCAAGTTCAGCATTCCTGTATCTGTGAGTTCTAGGTGATCGATGCTTGGCGTATCGAGGGATAATACTGGAGGAGTGGTACCATTATCAGTCGTGAACACTGATTGGAAAAAAATGTATTCGTTAGCCTTTTCCGTTCTTTCCCCTGAATCCGTGTGCGACTGTGTATTATTGCTAGTGCCAAGGTATCTCCAAGATTTGCTTGGATTGCTTTTAATAAAGCTTGGAAGTGTAACACTAAAATAATATTGTCTGGCAGTTTTCTTTTTTTGCTTAAACTCTGATTTTGCGCCCTGCAGCTTCTGTTGAATGGATGATTTACACTTATGGTTTTCTCGCAGCCACACGCAACCTTTTTAACCTACGCTTGGCCTGAATAACCTCACGTGTTATCCAAGGATTATTCCCTGGAGCTTTCTTGTGTTTCTTTGGTATGAAGTTAGTGACACAGTACATAACAGTAGATTTGAAACTTAGCCAAAGTAGATTAGTATCACTGGATGCGTCAAAAGCTAGCTGCAAAAACTTTTCGAACTCATGTGCGAGATGGGTTATTACGCTGCTATCGTCAGCTTTTTTGAAATCAATTACAGTTGATCCACGCTGCTCACATGCAATACTGGAGTCAAGCGGCAGCAAGCATATGACTATGTGATGGTCTGATATGCCGTCAACTACGTCAGTGCAAACACGGTCTTCCGGGAAGTGCTGAGTAATCAGTATCAGATCTAATATGCTCTCGGCAGTGTTCTGTAAGCGGGTTGGAGATAACACGATTTGCTGAAGGCTAAAGTTCAACATTAGTTTATAAGAGCGTCCGAGGCAGATGATGTGTGGTTTAGCGTAGTCCAGTCAATGTCTGGCAGATTAAAATCTCCCATAAGCAGGACACGAGAGTTGCGAACATGACGCTGCATGAAGTCATGAACTGCAGTTATGCATTCGTGTCCGGATGACGGACCTCGATAAACGCATCCAACGAATATAGAAGTGCTATCGCAAAGAATCCGGCAGAAAATTGCCTCAGCATCTGTTACAGCTGGAAGCGATACATATGAATGGCATTTCTTTATGAGTAGAGCGACGCCCCCACCACGAGAAGGTCTATCCTTACGGATAACGTAATAATTTGGAGGAACAACTTCACTATCGTATATCTCGGAAGAAAGCCATGTTTCAGTGACACCTAATATATCAGGACTGTATTCTAGTAGAAGATTTTCGAGAGCATCTACTTTGTTTAGAACACTTCTTGCGTTAACATTCAATATAGTCAAGGCTTCGATTTTGCGTGTAGACGAGCTTGCCGAGTTTGCGGTCTTGATCGCACCTCGTCCTTTTTTTGGGTGAGAACCTTGTCGTTCTTTTCTTCATCCCAGGTAAAGAATTGGTTATTAATGAACATTTTGTCAAACACTAACGACACCTTCTCCTTCTTTTCTCAATTTTCTTTGGCGCTGTTCCATAGCTTTCGCCTGATGTCTCGGATTCTAGGCGAAAAGTCTTCTCCGATTGAGAAGCTGGTGTTTTTCAGTTTGTATCCGCTTTTAAGTATCGATGATTTCTGCCTAATATATTGGTACTTTGAAGTATATTGATACTTTTGAAACGAATTTCTAGAAACACCCATTACAACGCCAACCTTTTCTCATTAGTTGAGTTGCAAACGCACCTACTGGCTTGACGGTGCCTAGTAATGGCTGTGCGTGCACTATGGTCATTAATCGGCACAACAAAAAAGATCTAAAGCTCACGACGCGCTGATTATCAAGCTTCTTATATATGATGCATGAAACGATGAATTCTTAGAAGCTTATTTGTCGCCAATTTGTTTTTACAGTGGATTTCTTTTGTGTCACACTGTAAGCAAGCAGAAGGCAAACAAAGCAGCCGTGTTCATCATCGCTGTGGCTAGAAGGATTATCAGGTGAGACGCATTCCTCATGTTTCATTGTTATCCCACATGTGAATGATCAGAATTAGGCGAACACATCCCAGATATATCCCGTCAGAAGACCACCAAAAGCGATAGAGGCCTTGGTATCTTGGCAGGTTAGGTGTCATTGTACTGAACTGAAAGACGCGACTTAGATTGCCAGACGTCTGTAGCTTCTGACCATGCACGTAACGCAGGCGTACGCTAAAACCCTGGTGTTCGAAGCTGATCCCGGCTTTTCCAGTACGGCATAACCCATTGTCCTGCCCTGGTTATGCTGTCTCTAACCCCAGTAACGAACGCATTTCTTGTTCGGAATGGCGAACGTTTAAATTCAACGGACGTCCGCAAAAGCCACGCACGGAGTGCACGTGACCTCTCCTAGCAAAACTGAGGCTGGTGCCAACAATTCGGTGCACGCTTCTTTTGCCGCAGCCAGCCCCTGCGGCCGTGGCACATAAAAGGTGGGAATTCCTGCAGCAGAAGGGGAAGTCCCGTGTGCAAGGACACAATGAAATCGCGTAGGTTTCGTGGGCGCACTTACAATGAAAAGTTTTCTCTTTGTCATCTTAAAGCATGTGCCAAAGGACTATCTATACTGTATGAATTATTATTGCAAACATTTCTAGAAACAGTCTCTGGACTTCACGCAGGAGCGCTTCATTTAGCCCTTACCTCTCACAACTGGAAGTGCACAGTTATATTGAAGAAGCGAAGAAATTTGACGAACATTTGCAGACCCAACACAAGAAGGTATCCTGAATCTTTTGGTTTGTTGACAGAAAGACTCCAGCGCACCTCGCAAGCATGGCAGTGACAATGAAGGTTTTACATATGCACCGTCACTGATCGCAGCGACTCTACGACACTGAATTTCCAGCCACACTTGTTTTGGAACGTTGCTTTATTCTTCATAAGACGATAGTCATTCTTGGGGACCTTCGACGCAAAATTTTCGGCCTGTCTGTCTGGCTGTACGTTTGTGCGTTTCTCTGCTCTTAACGGTACCCTAAACGGCACCAAAAAATACTCCAAACGGCCAACCCAGTCCGCAGTGCCACCAATATTGCTCAAGATTCATCGTTCACACTTGTGTGATGGTCAATTGAAAAGCAATTATTGCGCATAGCTGAGGCACTATAACAACACGTCAATATTCTGTGTGCGTGTATTTTTCTGTAAAAGTCCTACATAAGTAATTCTAAGGACCGTAGCGTTTATCACGCTGCGCTGGCCATGCAACGCTTGCACGAAAAGGCAAGTGTTTCCAACGCTTTGCTCAGATGACACGGTGGTGGCACCTACCCGTCGCCTTGTGTTCTACACCTTATCACCTCCGAGACGGGCGCGCATGCCGCGCGCTTCGTTTTCCAAATAACTGCCAGATAGCGCTCATGGCTCACGTGTGACGTGACAATGCGCTCGTCCGCCTCCGCTGTACGCTCGAGGCACTCTAACGCAGCGCCTCTAGAACACCATTCACCGATTTTCTTCCGCAAAACATCAAATAAACATTTTGTTCACTCTCTCCAGATGCAAGACTGTTGGCTTTCGACGACATGCAGATACGGGGCCAATTTTTTTTTCGGCTTTTTTGCAGTTCCACCAGTATATATAATCTGAATGACCTCTCAGCGTGTTTCTATTCATTGCGATTACTTCTTGAATATAAAAAAAATATTCCAAATGTCTTACGTTCGCTTACCGGAACATGTAAAGGGTGTTTTCACTAACCTGTGCCAAGTATACTTTTGAATAAAAGCTTCAAAAACTAAAATTGAGCAGGGCAGCTATCTTAGCTCAGATTAAATTATCCGAATTCGCTTAACAAACTTCACAGCTTTTCTACCAGAGAATTTTCGTTAGAGCCAAGTTTTCGAACGTTAATAAAGCAATATTTGCCTCTTCCCAGGGTTACTGGATTGGCGCTATTTTACTATGGATGAAATTTCACGTCATTAGGGAGAGAATGCTAAAACGTTTTCGAATAAAGTTTTTTGCAATTCTTATTGCTTAAAAAGGAAAATGAACAATTATTGCTGGTTACGATGCTTCGCGGATCTGAAAAGTAGACTGACGTGCTAATCACAGTTAACTACAGTGCTACGCCTATTCAATATGCAAAGAGATGTGTTTGTTGTAATACTAAGCGCATGTTAGCAGAAACACTCAAGATCATAAGTACTACGCCTATTCAATATGCAAAGAGATGTGTCTGTTGTAATACTAAGCGCATGTTAGCAGAAACACTCAAGATCATAAGAATTTCACGCGCACTAAAGAAATACTTAGTCCAAAAGTCATTAACCTGGTGTCCTAAGAAATATGATGTTTTTTTTTATTCTTGCTGCCATGTATTGCAGGATCTGCGTACCACTTTTTTTCGTCATCATGTGGTTTTACCTGCTCCCTCGTATAGTCAACGGACCCGATACAGAGACTTTCTTCCAGAGATTTTACGTCGACATGTCCGAACACTGGTGGCAATTTTTTCTACAGATAAGGAATCTTCACGAATTGAGCGCACAGGTGAGCATAGAGCCTTATTTATCTGAACGTAATAATAAATATTAAGGGGCAGCGCACACGCCTAGTCGAAACTTTTATTAGCATGGTCTTGCAGAACACTGTGAAGTCTGAAAACCGGTAGTAAGCAATTAGAAATAAATATCTTGTGTTAACAAATCGAAAAACAATAGTTACGTTTACTCACCTATTTGTGTTTCATCCCAGCGATAACATTCAGACGGCAGCTATACATCACATTTAATATCATAACAAACTGCGTTATGTGATCATCCTTATACAAGAACGAAGGACTTAGCCGATTGCGAACGAATGGGTCAATCAATCAGTCAAACTATACTTGAATTAGCAGGTAGAATTTAGCGAACGCGTAGGTGCGTTACACAAACTAGAATTATTACGTCGCTACGCTCTATCGACCCTCCAGTATCTCCGGCATCTACCGTATGCCATCATACACCATGTGCCACCAATGTTTCCAGCACCATATTCCACCACACTGGATCCATCATTTTTATGGTGGACATATTTTCAATAGGGATGCGAACATACAAGGTGTGTTTTAGGTGTCTGGAATATGTGAACGTATACATGCATACATACATAAAGGCAAGCACAATTACTTGAATACTAAACACCAACGTTGTTCGTATTAAAGCCTCAAAGGTTATTGTAGTAGCCAGACTCAAGCCTACTTTACATGGTTACTTCCAAAGGTGCAATCCATTCGGCTTGTGATTCTCAGCTTTTAAAATACCTTTTGAATTCTGAAAATTCCCGGTTAAAGTTGGAGTTTATCGGATAAAACCGACTTGTTGAAAGTTATACCAGTAACATTTATCGGATTTTTTTAAGATTTCTCTGAAAATACGTATGCAAAACAAGCTGAAATACAAGCTGAAAATCGTATGCACCCGCCTACTACCAGGTGCTGTGTCAAGTTGCTTCCACTGTAGCCATGTACACTCACGAGCATGGTGTCAAGAACTTGCGTGAATGTGGCAGAGAGGTTTGCTTCAATTGACAGTTTTACCACAAAAGTGAAATTATGAACGCGATAGCGAAAAAAATGGGGCACTTTTATTCACCTTACAGAGTTGAAAACATAGCGCTATTCTGTTCCTAGTGCGTACTTCAAACTCTTAGTGGATGAAAACCACGTGGCCTCAAGGGTGCAGTAGAGTGTCTGCCTTCTGTAGTGGTTTACTGGCCTTAAACTATGAAGTGGTTATGATAACCCCGTGTTCTGATGCCCGATGGCAATGTACGCTTGTACCACGCATTATTACGGGATATGTCGTGTTGTATTATCATGCATATATACAGGATGCCTGTGTTTGGTAAAGCTTGAAGGTTACTTTTACTGCATTTGCAAGCAAGGGAAAATATTTTCACTGTATTCGCTGGTTTGAGCAGGTTGTCACGGGTTGGGGCACCTATTTAATAAATAACTGGTGTTGCTTTTTTTCTATTTTTGTTATTGTGCTTATCTATAATGCTTCGAACATTCCTGGAAGTGAATTTCGCGGAAGATCTATTAAACTTAGGGGTATGTACTAATCTTGCATCACCTCCCTATTTGCAAGCATGCATGCTTGAAGTGTATGAATCAGTGCGTTTTCATAAATCCAAATTTTTCAATGTATAATCGTTTTCTCTATCAAGCAAAGATGTATATCATGATGTTTTGGATATGGTATTTTCGGCCCCATTGTGTTGCTCACTATATTGAATTGTCTGGCCATGACGTGCTATTACGTGTGAAGAAAATCCCTATTTCACCAAAAACAAAGGCGCTTTTCCACAAAGTGCATACAGAAACAGTAACTGCAAAAGTCTTGTTAAACACAAGAAGTATCTCTGTATCCTAAATTATTTTCGCCTCTGTGAAGTTCCAGAAACAATACAACATTGTTTTAATAGTTACAAGGATGTCATATTTTTTTTTTGCGACGTCGTATTGAGGGCTTTTGAAAAAACAACTGGATGTACAGTCCCACAGCATCCGTTATTTTGAACAAACCAAGTGTAATTATATGCCAGGTGATATTCTCTTGTCAATGGACATGTATAGTTTGTTGAAAACTCGCACTCTAGACAAGCGTGCGGAACCAATGGTGCCTTCGTGATCCCACTTTGTACTAATGACTGCGCAGCTACAAGACTTTTATGAACAACTGCAGTTTCGGCCGGACTGGTATACAGAGCTCATGAAGTGTGCTGCTCAAATACCTTTTCAGACACAGTATTGTAAGAAATTTGTGTTGTAAGGCTCATTGTACATTTTTCGAAGCAGCCTTGCGTATGTTGAACGCTATGTATATACGTAGACAGCATTAGTAATAAATACCATTTAAGAAACTAAAAAAAGCAGAGGTGTGGCTCTTTGGCAGAACACCTGCTTGTCACGCAAACGACCCATGGTTCGAACCCCACACAGATCCAAGCTTTTAATTATTAGTTTTATTTGCATCTTTCTAAATATTTCTATGACGCAAAAATGGCTAATTTTTTGCTCAAACCCAACGACGCTGAAGCCGATGCCGGAATTTGTGCAAAACGAGCTCTAAAATTTATTGCGTTAAAATTGTACTGTGAGGTTTGTGTGTGTGCCCCTTTCTCCGGTGCAAACCAAGGAGGATTAAAGAAAAATTGCTGGAGTGGAAGCTCCTGCAATGCCTTGCCAGCAGAAGTGAAGCCACCTTTTGCCACTGCCAAGATGGCGGAAACGTGCTCTTTTCTGATAGTGCCCACTTAAAGATCAAGTGGCTTTGATACGTTATGTAAATGCTACATTAGTTCTATATTAAAGGATAGTTGTTCCCGATGAAATAACACACAGAAACGAGTGTTGATGACTGAATCTTTAAAGAACTTTGTCTCCGTTTAGTGGTTCACTACGAAAAGCTAGTAATGTTAGGACGCACTTGGAGCACTATGTGGCCCGAAAAAGTTCCCACATTAAACTCATTGGGCGTGCGAGGGAAACGCTTCCTTTTTAATCGCTGAACGGTGATACTTTATCATGCCCCTAGTAAGATGGCCGCCATAGCCGCCATCTTGCTAGAGGAACGGCTTCACTTTTGCGCAATCATTTCCACTCCAGCAATTTTTTTAATCCTCCTTGGTGCAAACCGAGAAAGCCGGCTCTCGTATGTTGCTGCTGAGAATGAGACTTTGACTGGGAATATGCAGTTGGATTATTTACCATGCGCACTCGGCGCGCTCCGCAATTCGTCTCTCCCCCAACGCTCCCCACTCGTGAGTTATGAACAGTGCTGCTGCATGGGGTCTTCATAAGTTTGTGCACGGCGTTCTTGGGCAAAGGTCACGTCCCGCCGTTTCGGCACGATGCTCGAATACCCCTAGCCGTCGACGTCTGCAACGCCATAGTCGTCGGGCCATTTAGCGCAGCAGAGTCGCAGTGCGTGGCGAGCACTTGAAGTGGTAAATTGGAGCCCCGCGGTCGTTGTGTTGACGCTCGCTGCCGTAGCTGTCAGAGACCCCGCCCACCACCTGGTCGTACAGTCCACTGACAGCGATGTTCCAGCCCCCATCACTACGCGTTCTTGAAGGCTCGCTTCCCGGGAAATACCGCCGTAGCCAGTCGATGCATACATGCCAAGCACCGGCATTCGCCAGCAGCTCGTTTTTGTTTATCCGAGCCGCAGGCGCCGCGTCGCTTTGCCCGACATGTACTGTGATACGAAGTGAGATGGGCAGCTTACTCTTTTGGATACGATTTCGCGTAACTCCACGAAAGACGGTTGTACGGCCGCTCCAGGGAGCCGGCATGCTCGTGCTGCTTCCGCGGTGTAATCACAGCGTGTAGAAAGGTATACGCGTTGTTGGCTTATTTCAGCCGACTTAACACACGCGCCAGAAATCGCGACCATGCCCTTATTTTCAAAGTTCAAATTCGCTGCTCTAGCGTCACTGCTGACCTCCCCCGGTGTTGTTGTTTTTTATAGAAATAGAAAAAAAAACGAAGAAGTTGTCCCCGTTACTTGGGGAAGGCTATTCTATTTCACTTGCTTGTCACAAATACAAAATAAAAACAAAATAGCCTATATACATATAGAGCAACCCTTCATGCTCCTCATAGTAAGCTGGAGGTTTCTTCTCAGCTTAAGCAGCAATGATTGGCGAGCCTCGCACGTGGGTGAATGTTATCTCACGCGCTATAGCACGCGACAAAGCTAGATCGGCTCGTTTCATCTCTGTTTCCGTCGCGTTCATCGCCCACACTGGCACTGAACTATTGCATATTTTACCCACGGGTAAAACAAACGATACTTTAGTGGATAGAATCAATTCTAATTTTATACGAACCATAACGGCGATGGCGATGGACGAAAGCCAGTTGAGACTGTCCATATAATTGCTATCGCAATAAAAATTCAGGCAATGCTGATGCGGCACGTACTACTATCGGAGCCGATCGTTCAGAAACAAAAACGCGTTAGAAAGTAAATTTATGCGAAATATGCCCATGATGTCTTGTTATGCTGCGCGCGTGCGAAATCTGATATCAAAGGTGCACGCAAATATATTTAAAGAATATGAGTATGTACTGAGACTTAATTATCTGTATTAATTTAGATGTATCGGTTCAGTTCAACTGCTTCAGTTCGCTGCAAGTATGTTAACGAATCATTTGTAACGATGCCAAATTTTATTATTTTTTGTATTGTTTTGTTTTTCTTCAGCAAGTATTAGTCCATTGCTGGTACTTATCAGCGGACTTCCAGCTCTTCGTGGTCTCGCTTCTGACATTGCTGATATTTAGACGGTGAGCTCACACAAGCGCATTTTCTATCACATTTCTTCGTGTAAATATGGATTTACATGGACGATTGACAATGCTTTGTAAAATAGTCTTTTATGACCGTTTTAGCTGTGCCTGTCTTAATTTTCGCTTACATACCTCTGCGCTAATTTCTTTCGCACCCTCGGTTGTCCCCACTTCCAGTGTGCTGGAGTTACTGCATAATAAACGAGTGATTCGTCTTCGGCTCACAAGATACAGTGCAGATTCAAAAACTTCGTTTATTAGACCACTGCTGGGTGATCTATATAAAATTTGTGGCTTCTCGTCACTTTAAAATTCAGAAATTCATGAAGAGCAATCCACATACAATCTTGGCCACCTCGTAGGACACACTCTAGCGTTCACTGATACTGGGCTGAATACTGGCGTCACAGGTTTGCGCGGAGTCGGAGATTCGGGGCTTTTGCGAAAGTATCTTTGTATCTCAACGTGCATGTGCTCTTTTTGCGCAGACGAAATCTTGTGACCCTGGCAGCATTCGCCGTGCTTTCTCTGCTTGGATGTGCCATAGCAACATGGACCATGGCAAGATTGAATCTGCTGCCATTCATCCTTATTCCTTTCCCTGATTACGCGTAAGTACATGTCCATGCGAATGTGTCAAAACAAATTAGCAAAATATTAACCGAAAATACATGTTTGCCGATGACAAATTAACTGGCTGTACTTAATTACTCTGAGCAGTAAACTATAATGCGATCACTGTATTATCTTGTTTACCATTCAATAGATTGACGAAAGTATTTGTTTTCGGGAAAAGAAAAAAAGCGGAGCCCCAATTGTCAAACTGTACCATCTTTTTTTGCCAAAATGGAGTGTTTCAATGTGAAAGCGATGAGCACTCCAAAATAGTAAATTGTGACCAACGCAAACCGCAGTACAGATGGCTCTAACTGTAGTTACATAGGTGCAATGTCCGTAAAAATGGTTTACACCATATCATATTATTTTTTTCCTTGTGGAATTGAGGAACATGCGCCCATAGTACACTTAAAAGTAAAAAAAGAAATGTGTGCTAAAGAACCTTCACGTAGACACCCTCGTCTTCCGCACAACCATGACAAAAAAAGATGGTAACGAGTGCTGAAAAAATCACAGCATATCCACGGAGAGCATGATGATGAGTGAGGCGAAGTGTCCATAAGTCCGTCCGCGCTTCCATCCGTCCGTTCGTTCATGATTCCGTCCGTATGTGCGTCCGTCTGTGCGACCGTTTGTGCACCCGTCCGTTCGTCCATCCATCCGTGCGTCTGTCCGTGCATCCGTCTGTCTGTCTATCTATCCGTTCGTCCGTCCGTCCATCCGTGCGTCTGCCCGTGCATCTGTCTGTCTGTCTATCTGTCTATTCGTCCGTCCGTCCGTCCATCCGTGCGTCTGTCCATCTGTTCGTCCATCTAGTGAACACTCCAAGTACTGACATCTGGCGTATTTTCATACGATGGAGCCCTTTTACGATGAAGTTTCAAGCATCGTCATGACTTTGTGATAGAATACTCGACTGCCGCACAGTGAGCTTTTGTCAGAATTCCGCTCGGTCATGGACATTTTTTTACAGCCAAAGAGGCTAAGGCTTTTATGAGATCATGACTACAGTGGCGAAGTTGTTCCCCGTCGTCACCGCCGCCGTGGTCGTCCACTACCGCTATCACACGAAATAAGAAAAATAGCAGCCTGGATGAACTGTTATTCGAACGCGTGCCCTCTGCATGGCAGCCGAATATTCTACTACAGAGCCCCACTGGTGTTCGACACTCCATCTCAAAAAGAACCTATACATACATTGTTTCGGGGAAGCAATCACATTAACTTACGTAATGTAGTGAAGTAGAAGTGTAAAACGACCACCATGCCTTATACATTGCCACTTGCATCAAAATGTGGTCATTCAATGCTTCCAGTTAAGTACAGAAAGCTCAGCATAATTCCTTATCATCAGCCACAACATCAACATAGTGCGCATAATGACTTACAGGTCTCTAGTGGGTACCATGTTTCTCTGCAGAGCGACGAATAACGGCGTAGTAGATACTAGCCTACTTCACAAACGTTATGACCATTTTTGGCCTAATTTTTGAGTGCCTGTATTTGAGTGCCACGCGAGTGTGCTTGGAGGAATAGCCCCAACTGGCAATACAAAAGTCTCTAGAACGGCTCCTTTTTTTAGCTTTAGCTGTTATAGGCCAAGTGCTTGGAGCAGGTTTAACGTTTTCTTTTCTTTTCTGTTCTCATTACTTGTTGCAGCGGTTGCTGACACATGAGGTTAGCAGCAGCAGCAGTAGCGATGGCGGTGGCAGTGGACAAATACACTGTCAGAGAAGGCGCTTGTTGTGATAGTCTAATGGAACTCGAAGACATTAAACATTTTAATAGGTTCGAAAGGCCATTGTGATGGCTGACAGGTTAGTTGCTGGAAAGAATGCACTTTAGTCAATTTAGTAAAATGAACACAGCGTTCCAAGAAGCATGACCTATTCAGGTATGGTTTGCTAAACTCGAACGGGTTTGTTTCTTGTGGCCTAATAAGGCTTCAGACGCCTCATCAAGCGCAAAATTTGACCATCGGCATCATGCCTGTATACAACGTCACGATGACGTTATGGTTCGCCAAAATTGTTCACGTCATTATGACGACACCATGGCATAACATCACTTGATGACGTCAGTAATCTGATTGTACCGTAGCTTAGTGCACAGGCGGCCTATGAAGGGGAAAATGTACAATAAAAACAAGACAAGGTGCCTCAAATATTTGTGGCAGACGAAACCCACATTAGAAGCAAAAAGCTTTCGAATGGTGGGGGGAAAGATTAATAAATCGACTAAGAAAAATGTTATGGTTTTTACATTCGAATCGTGTTAAGGAGGTTCATGAGAGGCCTTGAGAGTTTTTTTTTCTTCGTAGCCAATAAAGACGCTGACTGTAGCAATTGAATATATTGAACAGATTGATATAAAATTAAGTCACCTTACTATGCGTGTACGGTTCTATGTTATGTCACATTGTACGATTCCACAGCTTTTAAGAAATGGTTTCCATCGACCTGAAATGCTGAGGCTAGCCATCGTTGTAGTGAATATTGCTCTTGCTTAGCGCATCATGCAAAGCAACTCTGGCGTTACGATGAACTTGCTATCGGATCTATACGCAAGCGCACAATGAAGTGTACAAAGAGTGTACTTTCGAGCTACTGACGCAAATGTAGTGAGTTGCATTAATTACCTATGGGGATCCGCGATCATCGACAGGTGTACATGCGCATTTTTTCTCTCTTCCTTTTTTTTTTGCCTGCAATACCAACATGTCTCCAACATATGCCAAGTCGTCGTTTCATTCACACCTGAAAAATGCTGTTTTGCTTCATCTTTATGCTGCATTTTTTTCCGTGAAGGTAAAGTCCTACTGCGCTTTGATTTTGGTGCACGTTAAAAATTTCAGGTGGTCCCGATTTCCAGCGCTCTGGACTGTAGCTTCTACCATAATATTATTGTGGTTTTTTGAATGTAAAACCCCATCATTTACGAGTGTTTTTTCTTTTTTTTTCTCGCAGGCGAATGATGAACACGCTGAACTATTATTACATCCTACCTTTTTATCACGCCGTGTGCTACTTCAGCGGCTGTATGATGTCCCTCATCGTAACTGACTTCGGAAAGCTCAAGATTTCCAAGGTGTCCATCTGAATATAAAGAGCATGCACATTTGCGAGTGGTTTTCTATTGTTGCATCGACAAACTGTAAAAGAAGTCGACATAGAACCCATGACTCTCTAGGCTTATATTTGCTTTCTTAAAAAAGCGATGGTAATTGTGGCATAAATCTTAATTTTTTTTTTCTAAATGTACCACTCACATCCTGTACGTTGGCGCATCATTGACAAACGTAACTAACCTCAGCTCCTACACTTTTTTAAACTGACTGCAATCGATATCAGCAAATACTCGCCATGGTGGTATCGGCGTAGATTGAAAACAGCTGTTTTGCAATTAGTTTTATGAGCAATGGCTTCGGTACGTATTACCTCGTACGAAATGCTGCAGTCAAACTTTTTCATGATTTAGTATGTTATAGAGGTTTATAAAAAACAGCACGATTCCCACACAACCATGAAAAATTGAAGTGAATGTCGAATTTTGTGTATGTTACTTTCTCCTTTTCTTGAAGCGTAAAGAGGCACATGAGCTAAGAGTCAAAAACAAGCTTTAGCTAATTACTTTCTTGCTGTTTATATGTTGAACAGTTTTTTAAGGTTGATTCCTAACAGTTAAGAAAGAAAGACACATTGCTAGCGGGGCAAAACTGAGTATGTGAGTCATTCGTAACTCGCCATATTTTTTTAACACATCTGCGGTGCAAAACGCACCAACCAGGGGTTCCGTGAATCTTAGAGTTCCGAGACCGTGAGCCTGCTCCCGTTTGGCCCACATTAACAAATAATGCCTTATTTTAAAAGCAAAATAGGAGTCAATGTTTTCGCGGCTCTCCAATTTCCCGAAGCTCAAATGCCTCGAGAATGCGCGCATGTGTGTGTGTGTGTGTGTGTGTGTGTGTGTGTGTGTGTGTGTGTGTGTGTGTGTGTGTGTGTGTGTGTGTGTGTTTGTGTGTGTGTGTGTGTGTGTGTGTGTGTGTGTGCGTGTGTGTGTGTGTGTGTGTTTGTGTGTGTCTGTGTGTGTGTGTTTAACAAAGGATATTATTAAGTATGAACTTTACGGTAGAAGGGCACACTAGGGACCGAATTTCGCTATCACGTTCGACTCTTTAGGCGAAGCTTAAGGGTCCCCCAATTTTTGTTCCATTTGAGAAATTTATGGCAGAATATGCTGGAAGCTATGAAACGTTGCTGTTGTGGCAGTTCTCTGTCAAAACTACCGAAGTACAGCGGAATTTTTTATTATTATTTTTGTCAATGGCAGGCTTTGCAGCTGGCAGGCTGGTGTGCGTCTGTGAGCTGCGGCCTCTTCTGTGTATTCGTAAAGTTTCCATGGTACTTAGAAGAGAATCCCACCACGAAGAACGTAGAGATAACTGTGGCCTTCTTCGACAGAATACTGTGGTCAGTCTCTCTTGCTTGGATTACGCTGGCCTGTTCAACCGGCCGAGGGGGTAAGATTGCCATTACGTTTTCATTTGCTGGTTATTAAAAGAAGTTAGATCTCCGAGAGAGCTTAAAAGTTACATGGAGTCATTATGCTTGAGCTTCAACTCTGCGTTTTATATTAAACCTTGCACGTTCCAAAAACAACTGCAATACGGTAAGGGCCCTTCCCGTGCAAAGAAAGTTGTATATATTTTGATGTTCAAGTAGCCCTTCAATGCAGCCTAAAAATGTCGTCTGGGGAAAAAAAGAATGCTGTAACAGCTGTGCAAAGCCTTGTGCTCAGTACTTCATGCATTATAGAAAATGTGGGCACTACCTCTATAGAGGCTCCTGTGACTTGTATCCTTGATTTCAAATAAAAAGTTATAAGTGATATTGATAACTGGTGCAATTGATAACTTCGCAATGATTAACAATTGTACTAATATAATATTCTCAAGCAAAGTGTTTTTTCAGACTCAGTAATGTGCGATAAAACCCTTAGTTTCTCTGTCATATTTCTGTTGCCACCCAAATAAATTGACCCAGCGGATATGAGAAGTGCAACGAAATCAACAAAAAAAGAAAGTGCTATAAATTCATTGTATTACATTAGATTAGATTTCTCATCAAGTTCACAGGAGGCACTCGTGCCTTTAAGTCAAAGGATAGTGTTTGCATATTGGCGCTAGCCAGAAATTCGTTGGCATGTAAAATAACTGTTTGTAGCTCATATTAGATAGTTTTTGTTTAGTTGAGATAGCATGAAGTGTTGCGGTATTTTTGTAATCTTTACTACTAAACAAAGCTGAAATGAACTTTGCTTTTATTTCAGGCCCGGTGAACACGTTCCTATCATGGAATGCATTCCTGCCACTGAGCAAGCTTGCGTACGGCGTCTATTTGATACACATGCCATTTATTGAGCTGATGATGCACTCGTCAAGAGAGCGAGTCTACTATTCGGAGTTTAGCCAGGTAAACTTTGTACACTAAAGATTGTAGCGAAGTACCAGCGAAAGGGCTTCGAAGCTGTGGGCATTCAATTATATAAATATTGTCACGGGCTAAGTAGATGCCTGAGGATGGTGACAACGAACTGCTGAGGGGAACGTGCTCGGACTGCAGCAGCGTTGTACGCTTTTGCTCGCCAGTATATTCATCGTGTATACTTTATTCCACGTAACAATATTTTTAATTCGTTGCTTTTTAGTACACAGTAGCACAAAAATATTGAATAATGAGTTTTATTTTTTTTGCTTCACATGTAAAAATATTTTTATATAGAGCGTTTCTAACTTTTCGTTTATAAACCAGGACACAGCGAGCTCAGTGCGTGCTGCCATATGGATGGATGGATGGACGGGTATGGCTGTACCCTTTAGATCATGCGGTGGCTAGCGCCACCAAGCCGTAATATCTAATGAACCAAAAACTATATTTATTTTTTTCCTTAAAAAGTGAGTTTGAGGAGTCGTACTTTGCAGTGAAGAGTTTAATTTTCACTCGTGCCTTGACTTTAGCCACCAATCAGATAACCTCCTAGTTAAGTCTACCCGCTTAAAATCTATTTTGCCCTCCCGGTCCCTAAGCCCCAGTGCTTTGAAAAACGCAGCGCCATCATCCTGAACTATAGGGTGAAGCCCTTTACAGAACATTATCAAGTGTTCGGCAGTTTCTTCTTCCTCTCCACACGCACTGCATACTGTGTCTACCCCTTCGTATTTGGCCCGATATGTCTTGGTTCGCAGTACTCCCGTCCGGGCCTCAAACAGTAGAGAACTACCCCGAGTATTATCATAGATCCTTTCCTTGGCAATTTCCTGCTTAAAGGTTCGACAGGTCTCTAGTGCGGACTTCTTAATCATGCCCATTCTCCACATGTCAGTCTCAGTTGGGTATGCATATTGGGTATGCGCGTCGCGCCATCTGTTGCCAGCATGGCGAAGCAACAACCTACCCTGTCATGCGAGCAGACATTCCGCAAGGAAACGCGAAACTTCAAAACCCGAGTCCGCTGTAAGCATGTTTTGCGCTTTTCCTCTTCTGGAATTTCGTGCTGTTTACGTGTGATACATTTAGGAGACCTTCCTCGGCAGTCTGCAATGTCTGCAGCACGTGAATTGCAGACTTACGAAGCAACTTCATCAGGTGCGTACTCTAGAACGATGAAAAAAATTGCGATCAGCGGAAAACTTCGATTGCGACTCAGTTGAACGGTGGCATTCTTCGGCTGTGGCTAGGCACAATTTGTGCAGTAAGCCGGCATTAACGTAAGTGCTAGAATCCTGGTTCGACTTGCGCTCATGCACTGCATGTGTTTACCAATTGTCAGTCATGTCTGGCGCTCGCAGTACACATGCGGTGGGAAAGCGCCAGCCATGGAGCATGATTTTATGGTGCTACGGCGACGCCGTATGAAAGCATAGATTCACCTAGCGACAGTCAAGGCTCATCGCAGTTCGACCGAGTTGACCCACTCTTTCCATGCCCTTCACGCTTTTTCGGGGCGGGAATCTCGCAAGTACCCCGTCACGATTGTAGTAAACGTATCCATGCGTGAGTCATAATATGTCCTGTTAGAGGAAATCAGCAATCAAGTTACCACTAGACACCCTAGTTTCGGCGGACATGACACGCTGTGTCGTCGAGCGTGACCGGAAGCATTCGGGTGTACCAACAAAAACTAACGTGAAGCATGCCACCGTGTGCGATGTCCGGACAAGGAAAAAGAAGCTTCGAGACCAGCGTTATTGTTAAATTCACAAATGCAACAACCGCAAAAACACATTTAATAGCAGGAAAAACTAATCCATGTCATGTATAGTTGACTCCCTACGGCATCGATTTCCACCAATGCACATAGGTTGGTGCTCTGGAAAATATCACAAGTCTTTTAATTAAAACATACCTAGAAAACATTAAAATATAATACCAATATATTTTCGGGTTTAACGTACCGAAATCAGCATATGATTATGAGAGACGACGTAGTGGAGGGCACCAGAGATTTCGACCACTCTTTTTTTTTTTTCACGTGCCCCTGGATCCAAGCTCACAGGCCTCAAGCATTTGCGCCTCCGTCGGAAATATGACCGCCCGAGCCGGGATTCAATCCCGGGATCTGCGGGTCAGCATCCGAGTGCCTTAGCCACCAGTCAATCGTGGCTTTTGTTTTTTTATGACCTTCTTTGACAACACATCGGGAAAACACATACAGATATAAACGCATTGTAGTCCTACTAAAATAACATAGCCACCTTAAAATTGTTTGAAGCTTACATGATCATCTAGGATGTCCACCGAATCAGGGGGCTCAGTGACTTGTGCCCGATATAATTTTACCACATGTGTGATACTAGTCAGCTTTCTGGACGCTATCTTGATAATCATAAAATGCGACTATGTCGTCCGCATAGGCTAGTATCTTTACTTTGGTGATTTTCAGTCTGAATCCTTTGGTATTCACGTTATTGATGACAACCAAGCAAAAGGGCTCAAGATATACATCAAATAGTATAGGACTTAGTGTACATCCTTGGCGGACACTTGATATAACAGGGATTCTTTCGGCAAGGCTTTTATTATTTATAACTTGTATCATATAGTCCTGATGCGCCATATTAACACCTTGCATAATAGGGTCACCGGCATTACTCTGATTAAGTATTAAAAACAGCCCTTCTTGCGGCAATCTATCCAAGGCCTTCTCTAAATCTAACTACAACATTGCGGCTAAGCTATCGAAAGCGTCACAACATTCAAATACGCGACGTGCTACATGAGCATTTGTGCAGATGGTACGCCCTTTTTATGCCACATGTTTGATGAGACCCCAACCAAGTCTTATCACAGTTTGTAATAATTTCCCAAGCATTGATATGTGGGGTTTAACGTCCCAAAACCACTATATGATTATGAGAGACGCCGTAGTGGAGGGCTCCGGAAATTTAGACCACCTGGGGTTCTTTAACGTGCACCCAAATCTGAGCACACGGGCCTACAACATTTCCGCCTCCATCGAAAATGCAGCCGCCGCAGCCGGGATTCGAACCCGCGCCCTGCGGGAATTTCCCAAGCACCTTCATTACCGATTTGTAATCACAATTGGGGAAATTTATTGAGCTATACGCGTTTCCTGACAGCAACTTCTAACTACACCACCATGGTGGGTCAAAACATTCCAGAAAGCACACCGAAACATAGGTTGCGCAAGTACCACGCCGTGTATTACACACACCATGCTTATTTGATTTTAACATGGCCGCGATTGCAATGTAAGGGGTGGCTTTGTATTACGTCTAGGAAGAAATAAAATAGACTTTCGGTACTCGATTGGTACGCGAGGGTCGACTTTAGAAGCCAAAATGTGGAAGGAAAAAATACCTTGCGTCACATTTGAGTAAATGAGGTATTATATCTGATTATCACGTCCACAGCCTCATACTGGTGACAAGGTGACTGCTAGAGAAGCCATTATGATCGAAGCATGTTCCGTTACGGTTCACACACTGCATGTCAGCCACGGAACCACCACTAAGTCAATCAACGCCAGCTTGTTCAAAGGTAATTTTTTAAGTACTATAGGCTTACACGACGGCCGACCACATGCTTGCGAGTGGTCTGCAGAAGACGGCGAGTAGACTTCGTTCAATCACGGCCGCTGCGACATGTTTGAATTCCGCTAACACTCCTGATTTCCCCTTTACAGTGGCCTTTTATGTGTAGACTGCCTTAGACATTGATTTCACGATTCACTGTCAGCTTCGAAAACTTTTTAACTGCAATATGAGTATTTTGTGTTGATTCGTGATAGCCTTTAAACACACCGTAAAGGAAAGCGCACAGTGAAACAGCTTCTGTTATATATGGTGCAAGAGTTTCGACTACCTTTTTTTATGAAATAGAAAAATAACGAAGGAGTTTTTGTCCCCGTTTCTTGGCGATGGCTACCCTTTTCCACTTGATTGGTACAGATAAAGAAAAAGAAAAAAAGCAATATCCTATATACATATATACAGTCCTACATGGGTGAGAGCAAAAGTTCTCCGTTGGGCAGAACAAACACGAATACGCAACGCTCACTTTTAACTTTTGTCCGCTCAGTAGTCGTCACAACTCTTCGTTTCTTGGAAGAAGTGTTTGAGCACCTTCATTGCCTTGCCATTTGTTTTAGATGGCCATGGACCTAGTATTTTATTCAATGCAAATACCCGCTATGGTTCTCACTTATGCAATTCCTGTTCTAGCTGCCCTCGGTGTGTGTCATGTTTCAGACAGTTGAGCAAGAGATGACAGATATCCTCATCGTCGTGACCGCATGAACATGCTGGCGACGTTGATCGCTGAATACGAGGTAGCAAGTGCTTTTTGTAAGCAGTTCCGAGTCGTAGGCGATGTATGAGTGTGTCGATACGTCTTGGAAGGTCACGGTGTAAATGGTATTCAAGATTAGAATCAACAGAATACAAGATCAATTCCTTTTTTTTTTGTCTGTGAACCAGGTAGACAGGCATAATTCGCGTTTTGTTGTTCTTAATATTCTATTTACATCATATTGAGATACCGCAATGAGGCTAGTTTGCGTAGAATTATGAGCGGTTCTCTCCAACTCATACGCAATTTCACTTCCCTTAATTCCGCGGTGACTGGGAACCCACTGAAATGCCACTCGATGATTCGACTTCGTAGCTTCTGAAAGCTCTTTTAGTATAGCGTATACTATACACACATCAATGAGTCTTGAAGTGGCATTTTCAGCACAGGCGAGTACTGCCAGAAAGTCTGTAATTACCACCCCTTTTCTTGGTGTCATTGATAGTTTACTATAATTCTTTTGGCTAGTGAAATTGCCACGAGCTCCCACATTGTTGAAGAGGAGAAGTGGCCCAACTGACATGCATATTTTTCGTGCGATTCCGGAATTATAAATGCTGATGTCGCTGTCTTTTTGGTGACGAAGCCGTCAGTGTACACGT